TACCTACCACATTCACCCTGAAGGCCCTAAGCCCCAAACCCCTGAACCCTAAACCATAGCTTTTGTTTTCTTTTTATATTGTTACAGTAAGGTATTTATGGCCCCCCACAGCACCGAAATTACATAAACCGTTGTCATTGAACCCTCAACCCCTTGTTAACCTTCAACCTTTAAGCATTAACTCTTAGCGAATAGACCTGCAACGCCTGAACCCTAAACCCCGAAACCTTAAACTACTAAACCCCTAGACCTTAAACTCCTAAACCCTCAACCTCCACACTCATCTCTTTAGAAGCGTCCACTCACCTCTCATGCTCGCTTCCAGCTCTGGGAAGTTCCCTGTTAAGGTTGAACCCAGGGTTTAGGGTTTAGGGTTCAGGGTTTAGAGTTTAGGATTTAGGATCCAAAAATGGAACCCTCCAAAATGACCCCCATTACTACATTGGGGAAACTCTTTATGGGAGCTTGCTCCACTGGCTGGTGTGTCTCGGGTTTAAGGTTTCGGCTTTAGCATTCACAGAACCATTTCACTACTTTAGAACAAGGTGCCTGCCGCAAGATTGCTTTCTGCTGGGATGCCATGCTTTGGTTCTTCGAAATGCTTCGCAGTCCGCACTCCTTAATGTGCAGTTCACTCTGGCCTTGAACAAGAAACTCTAGACTCTAAACCCTTAACTCTAACCCTGAACTCTGAAACCTAGACTGCCAACCCTGAACTCTACGTCTAAACCATGAACTCTGAACCCCAGTACCCGGAATCCGAAGCCCTGAGCTTGAAAACCACTGCCATCCATGCGGCTTCTGCCCAGCAGTTAGCGCAGCCCGCGCGGACTCCACCGTCTTCGCGAGACTCACCGCCTCGCCTCCATGCCGTTTAGGGTGAAAGCATATTTAGCAGTGTATAGGGATTACATAGGGTGTAGGGTTTAGGGCTTTATGTAATTGCCAACATAATGGCCCGGCTATGAAGTGGCTCATTATTAGGGTACTATGAAAAGTTTAAATCTGACGATAAGACGAAAAATGAGCTCCAAACCTGAAAAGGGACCCTGTTTCAGGTTTCCGGTTTGTTTCGGGCACCGTGCTGCGATCAGCTGTTTTTGTGAAACATTAGAACCACATGATTTGGCGGCTTCGGGTCACAAATCCTGCCTTGAACAACCCAATGCCTCCGGTAACGATAATATCCACTTTATACCTAAATAAATAAATAAATAAATATATATATAGATATATCCGATTATAGCATGGTAGTTTCCGTTTTTCTTTTCCATCGTCCCTATATAACCGCAACCCCAGACACTAAACTCCAAACCCTATATAACCCCATTGTAATAGTCTCCACTTTCTTTTCCAGTACCCTATATAACTCCAGCATATACCCAATATTACCCTAGTAGTTTTCGGTTTATATTTTCCACTATAACCCCTATATAACCCCTGTATAACCCCAATACATAGCCTTTTTTATACTAATTTCCATTTGCTTTTTCACCCCCCTATATTCCCCTATGCAAGTCTAGATAATCCCCATCAGTTCTGGGCTTCCAGGATGAAAATCTAGGTGGTGTAGGATTGAGGGATTAGGGTTAGCGGTTTAGGGTTTAGGGCTTAGGGTTAAGGGTTTAGGGTTTAGGGCTGATGGTTTAGGGTTTGGGTTTCAGGCCTAGGGTTAAGGGTTCAGGGTCTAGGGCTCGGGGTTGCGGATTTGGGGGATGGCCACTTCCCAAACACGCTGCAGAAACCCGAAATCGGCTGCAGCCCACAATGAAAGCCTACCCTGAAACCTGAAGCTCAAAGCCGAACCCCAGAATCGCCAACCCTAAACCCCTAGGGTTTAGGATTTGGGGTTTAGGGTTTAGGGTTTAGGGTTTAGGGTTTAGGGTTTAGGGTTTAGGATTGGGGGTCTAACCCCTAAACCCTAAATACCCCTAAACCCTTCCCCCCCTTCCCTCCAGCAGCTTGTTGCCACTTCCATCTGCATTTCCCGTCCCTGAATATCCCTATATAACCCTAGGTGAACCGTACATCCTCCTTTGAAGGCCCTATATCCCAATTTACTGCTGCCGGAACATGCCAGAAGGGCCTTCCGAAAGAGTTTGACGCAGCAGGCCCAGGAGACCAGAAAAGCCCATTTTGCGAAAGCCCTGTTTGATTTAGGATTTAGGGCTTGTGAATTTCAAGCTTAAGGTTTAGGGTTTTAGGGTCACATAGGCCCCTTAACATGGGCCTTTACCTTGTAAGAAGGATTGCCGGACCCCCTTGAAAATATGTATGGGGTAGTTTTGCGAACAGATGGGCTTTGCGAGGGGGGCTTGGCAGCTTAGCGCGTAGTAATTTAGGATTAGGGTGTGTTTGGGATTTAGGGCTCACGGCTCACGAATCAAAACCCTAAACCCTGAACCCTACAGCCTAAACCCCTAAACCCTAGACCCTTTTTGTTTGGGTTTTGTGGGCTGGCATCTTTACTTTGAAGCTCTTCTCCAGTGATTCGCCTCTGGCACCGCTGAGTTTTTCATGAAATGGCTTTAATTGGCGCTCCCCTTAACCGGGTTACATGGGGTTATAGGGATATGCAAGGCCTTTAGAGGCATGTAGGGCTCATGTAATGTTATGTAGCGATATATTGGGAAATGGAAAAAGCAAGCAGAAAAAACTTTCGGGTTTGGGCCGTTGGAGTTTGGTGATCGTGCGTCTGGTTAGTTGCAGAGCTTTTTTCCAGCTGGGGTTTGGAATTTAGGGCTTCTGGAATTTAGGGGTTCAGGGTTTAGCGTTCAGGGTGTAGGGATTAGAGTTCGTGCTTTACTGTTGTCCAACATTTAGGGTTGTGGGTTTAGAGCTTCTAGTGTGGTACATTGTGCTTAGCCAAGTTGCTTGAGCTCCTCTGAACTTGCTGAAGCTTTGTAATTACTCTACCCTGACCTTTGACACTCCCTCACCCCTTAAGAATAAATCTGCTACGCGGCTTAGGGAGCTATGGAGTTTAAGGTAGTTTCCCAAAAATGCGGGGGACTCCTGTAAAGACTCCCAAATTCTTGTTATAGGTAGCCCAGAAAATTCCATACCGCATCCTGGACTCCCTAGAAGGTGTCCTGAATGTCATGGCTGGGTGTTTATAGGGCTTCGGGTTTAGGGCTAAAGGCTCTGTACTATGGAAAGCCGACCCGGGATCAAGGAAGATGGCATGGAGCCCCAAAAGGGGGCCCGCATAGAATACTGTCCGCTCAAATGAAAGGGGCTAGCAAAGTTTACACTGCAGCTTGGAACAGGCTAGCTCAAGATACCCTTAGCGCTGAACCTTAACCCTAAGCCGAAAGCATTGGGAATAGTAGCCGTCGCCAGATTCGGAACCCCTCAACCCTAAACCCTCCTTTCCAGGATTCCAATAATAAAAAAGTAAACACTAAGAGCATCACGCCTTTCGAAGCTTCCGCCTCAAGCTGGAAGCCAGTTTAAAAAGGCCCTCCCCCAGTTAGGGTTTAGGTTTGAGGGTGTAAGGTTGAGGGAATAGGCTCTAGGCTTTTAGGCTTCGGGTGGGCATAGAGATGATAAAGAATTGTCTCATGAAACAAGACGGTGGTCTGATGTGGGGGTCTCCAAAAAATTAGGGACCCTTTTTGAAGCTCCCCATATTGATTGCCGGATTCGGGGTTAGAAGGGGGCCTACCCCCATTGCTGGAAACCCGCGCATGGAACCCCGAAAGGTGACTGATGCAGGGTTCAGTTCCTTTCAAAAGGGGGCTCTAGGGATTTCCAATCTAATATTGGGGAAGCCATGTTCAGGAGGATGTAAACCATGACCGATTTGGACGCGACGTAGGATTGCTGGTCTCCAGCATGGGAGCCTCCAGGGTTGAAATTTTGGCGAGTTTTAAGGTTTTAGGGCTAGGGCTTAGGGACTACAAGGTTGAATTCTTGCAGGCATGGGTTCTCCCGACCACCCCTACACGACCTTGCCAAAGCTCCCCTGAAATAGACGTTACCTACCCTGAGCTGGGCTAACCAACCCCTAAACCCAGGCGGTGGTAGGGCAACCCATGCTTGAAGGCATTGCTTGCATGTTTCTAAACCGGGCAGACCCAAGAGCTACACACCAGAACCCCGAGCCCCAAACTCAAAGCCCTGAATCCCAAGCAAAAAAAGACGGTAAATCCCAAAACCCAAAAGCCTACGTCAGAAACCTTGGAGTTCCCCAAAGAACGCCAAACCATCCTAAAAAACTCAACCCCCTTAAAGCCTACCAAAAACCCACAACCCAAACCCCTCAACCGCAAGCCCCAGACTAAGTTGCTCTTTACAAACATAGACTGGGTTCAGGGTTAAGGGTTTGGTGGCTACCACAACAGGGAAAGCCATTATCACTTACGATCTATCCACATTATGGCTTAGGGCTCCCAAAAATCCCTTGAAAGGGAATTTCACCCAAAACGGTGGCATTTAGGGTTTAGGGTTGCAAGCGACACGTGGCACACTACAGCTCTGCAACCTATCCGGCTTTTTCCTGGCCAAAGGTGCTGTTGATCGCAAGCATACAACTGCGCACAAGCGATGGAGCTTGCACGGCCCCAGAATTAAAAAAAAGAAAATCCTCTTCGGGATTCACTCTGCGACCTTGTTTTGCAAGGTTCCTATTCCAAGCTGCTTACGCTTACGACCAGAAAGAAGTTGGGGGTCGTGCGTGATACGCCAATACCCTCCCCTACGGAAGTACTCAAAGATTTGGTGAGGTTCGTGTTCCTTAGTAAGAGAGTTCGCCAGTTGACTATCCCCATTCACCCAACGAATTTGGAGACCCGTAGCTGACATGCTCTCCTTCAAACTTCAAACACAGGGATTCGATATCTGTTCTCTTCTCGGCTCCCTTCAGGGTCAACACTGTTTGTGACAGACGATCATACAGATTCTTACTATCACTCACCAACACCCCATCAACTTGCATCACAGCATCATTACATTGCCAAATGGAAAAGGGCTTGCCAAGGAATTCCTGAACTTGAAACCTAACTGCAAACAACTCGTCCTCGGCATCTATCGCGGCGTGAGTCTCCGCTGCACCTGAACTCCGACAGGTCCTCTGAATCTTGGCTGATTGCCAAAGCACTGGACTAATGGGAACCAGGTCTCCTTGTAGTAGCTGATGACTTGTCCATCCGATGAAGATGCCCCTGGTGGATCCTCCATCAGGTCGATGTGAGTCCGCTGCATCCGCCCATGCAGCTATCAGTGGCTTGTGATCCTGACACTTGTGGATCCTCAACTTTTGATGTTGTCCTAACTTGGCTTTCCGAAGTAACTTGTTCGTGTCAATGATCTCCTGCACAGTGCCATGGTTTGACTTTGACAGCAACATGCCTACTGCGGCACTCCACTGCGGGGCTACCTGGTTTGCATGCCATGATAAAGCACCTAAAACGCTCCTAAGTTGATACAACTCGTGAGGCAAAACCGGCGCGCTAGGCTCGTTCCACCGGCTCTTCCCTATATGTATCTCACTGACAGCATCGAGGTACTCAGGTTGACTGAGTTCAAAACCCCCTTCGACTTGTTCTATCAGCACTCCACACTGCAAGAACCGTTTTTGCTCCCATTGTCCCCATTTAAACCTTTCTTGAATCTTACGTTTGATTTCGCACCAAGCAGGATCTTGACTACACCCCCCAAACATAAAATCATCAACATGTCCACAAACGTACCCTATTGGGGCGCCGTTCTCTGCAAAGAACCCCCAACAGCAGGGGTCCGACAGCTGTCGAATGGCTCCAATACTTTCCAGAAACCTGGAGATGGACAGGAACCACTGAGTCGGTGCCTCCACCAGGCCATACGCTGCTTTTGTCAACAGCATTGGAGTTTGATGGGGAACATTCAGCGCTTCACATATTTCGGGGAGTGGTTCACACACCATGGGACGCTCTTCACCAAAGTTATCTCCCTGTAAAAAGGCCCCGCTAATGTCTCCCTTCTCGATATCAAATCCAAGGTTGGAACATGTCTGGAGGAAGAGCTGTCTAGTAGTCCTCGTCATAGTAGGACTGCTAGTAGGTCTGAACTCGTACTCCGGATCCATGTATCCGAGCACGACTGCCCGTGCTTTGGGTTTTAAGGGGTTACCTGAGGCGTCTCTTTTTAGCGGCTCACCCTCACCTGGCTTGTCATCAAGTTTCCACGTCAAGATCCACCGCATTTTGAGGATCTGACTCCTACTTGGTTTCAAATGTTTGGGTAAGGCCTGAAAAGCACGAGACACAATGAAATTTCGCACCTCCTTTGATTTTGCGTGTCTAAATCCTGCCAGTTCTTCTGGCGTGAGGTGGCGTTCAGAGATTTCCACCGCCTGCTTTCTCAGCTGCTTCACAAAGAAACAACCCAATGCCCGACTCCACTCCTTGCCCTGACGCGTTCCCCACTTAGGAAGTTCAACGGACAAACTCACCGCAGGACGTTCCGAGGTCCAGAAGACACTTTCCTCTTCAGGAAACACCACCCCACACTCTTCCAGAAAATCGGCACTTGAGAGATTCTTTTGATGGGCTCTGGCGGAACTGCGCCCTTTAAAGTGCCTACCACCACTATCGCCTTTAGGGGTCATTCTACGCCAAACATAAACCAAATCCCCGGGACAGAAATGCTTCATAGTCCTGGCTCCTGAAAGTGACGCTCGTCTGAGTCGTTCCTTGCTCTGTTCCTCCAGGAAGGCCTTCTCCGCTGTAATCATCGCTTTGACGTTCATGCCAAACTCGGCAGAGACTCCATTTTCGGTCAGGATGGGAATGTCCTGGAGCTTGCTTTCTCCGAGGTGTCCCAGTTCGTCAGGGGCTCTTCCAAAAGCATGCTGCAACGGACTGAAACCCAGGTACTGATCCCTGTTGTTGCAGGCCCATGTGGCCCGCGCGAATGCCTCAGAAGTACGCATCTGGGGCTGCTCTGACACTAAGGCAGTCATCATTGCCTTTATGGTCTGGACTGATCGCTCAGCGAGGGAAATCTGCCAATGGGCCTCGGCAGGTATGCGCTGTACCTCAATTTGACGTTCTGCAAGATACGCGTCCAGGCTCTTACTCCGGAAACATCCTGCAGGATCGAGTCGAAGAATCTGGGGCTTACCAAAGTTTGGGAACCAATGACCTTCATAGTAGTCTATGAAATCTTGGGCACTAGGGGTCCTACTGGCATGCTGGAACAGAACTTTTCCAACCCTCAGCCTACATCCCTCATCGATCCCTAACATGAATTGCCATTTCTCCTGGGTCTCCGGGTGATTCCATGAAAAAGCATCACACTGTAAAGTATGCCATTTTGGGGGGAATCTCAACCAGAGTAGCATGACTACGAGGGTCGGGCCTACTATGTTCATCGCACACATCACATCGAAAATGGTTCACACATCGCAGCACATCCTTACTTGCCCCTCTACGTTTCAGATTGGCCTTCAGATACTTAATATTACAGTGACCCGTCGCAGAGTGAATCTTGCGCAAATGCTGGAAAATCCTTTTGCGCTCTTCAGCAGGAATATCTTGTATTCCCTCAGGAGGAGGATCTTCTGAGGAAGCATTTTCCTCATCTGCGGCGGCAAGGCACTCTTCAGTAGGACACAAGATGTCCTGCGCTATGAGGGCCCAGCCTGCCTTGCGCTCTACATAACGCAACACCCGGCGAACAAACTCCTTCGTGTAGCCCTGATGACACAACTGCTCTCCTTGAGTGCTTACCGTCGCAAGCCAAGGACATGTTTTGAACTAAGGCGCCATCAGTACTGGACAAACCCCATCCCTTACACGACAAGGCCCCTTGATAGTTTCGCAAATTCATCTGACATCCTTGACACAGACCCTCATACAACCTCAAATCCCTTGCCAGATCAAGATACCACTGCTGGCGCCATGCTCCAGACATTTCAGGCATCTCAAGAACACATGTGATTCCCAACGCGGCCGTTGCCCGGAAAACTTCTGCCAAACCCTCATACTGTTGCTTGGCCTGTTCTTGCTTGGCCTGGAGTCTCATCACCTGTTCAGGTGTCCTCTGATTCATCTTCTGTATGGGTGAAAAGGCTGAGGTCTGAGGCCGGAACCAAACATATTGAGGTTTCGTCCCTGAAATTGTCTGCGTCACAAAGGATCTACCCTTGGAGCTTTCGAGATCTCCACCGTTCGAAGAAGAAAGCCGAAGCGCTGATCCCTTTCCAAACAACTTCACACACTCATCCCCAATGCTCACCCCCTCAAAATCCCCATCCTCAATCACACGAACCCCACTCAAATCTAACTGCTGAAGTGAAGACAACATCTCCCTCTCATAACCGCGTTGGAACTGGTCCCGGCGCTCCGACTGTGTCCCGTTGGATAAGCCTGCTTTTTGTTCTTGTCCACGCAAGGCGAGCTGAGCGGGCATGGAGTCCTCTCTGCTATCATGCTCTTCTCGGTCTTGCTGAGGCCCTGAGCCCAGCGCGCGTAGCGCTTGAGACGCGAGTGGCACCCCACTTCCTCGGTTGCGGTTCTCACGCACCAGTTGGAGTAAGCCGTGGCGTGCGTCATGACAGCTCCGAAAGTCCACGCCGAGTGCTTCCCAAATCCCACGAAGTTGTGTTCCGTGGCTGGAACCTTGTTCTCCATGTAGTACTGGAGGAGGATGGCACGCATCTTGTCGGTGTTGGTGTGCTCCGTGTACTCCAGGTTCAGCTCGTCGAGGTGATTCTTCAAGGCCATCTTGGTCTTGAGCCGATCTGGGTCATCACTGCCTGCGTCTCTGCTTCCAGCTCGCTCAGGCGGGCCTTGAGTTGGGTCTTGGTCCAACCCGTCGGAGCGATCTCGCCCAAGTACTGCAGGCGCTGCTGCAGCTCGGACTTGGAGGCTGATGAGCTGGGCATGTTCTGCGGGAGAGGATGCCTTTAGGGGAAGTCGGGGAGCTACTGGAGAGCTGAGCCTGACGCCGTGCGTCATGCTGGGCTTTTTGCTCCACGGAAAACAGAACCCCCGTCTGCGCAAACACATGACCTGATCCCGATGAAGCTTGGCGTGACTATTCAAGGTATATCCGATGAGAATTAGCCGATCGCCCTGCCAGGGCATGGTAGCATGCCACTGTTTGGGATCCAAATACACTGGTTGTTGAATGCTGCGCAGCTCTCCTACCATGGGCTTACCATCACACATGAGAGTCTGAGCTTTCTTGTTCGTCCTAGGCTGGCCTGCCACCCAAATCCCACCACCACTTTGGGGTCTCTTAAGGGGAACCACCGAGTTGTATGATCCAGGTTTGTTGAAATGATCGCGATGGGGTTCGGATTAGGAGTTCCAGGAAACAGTCATGGACGTGTAGGTATGTTCAGGATTGGCCTTTCGTAGAACCATTGTAAGGACCCTTGACATCCAGGTACACTCTTTAGTGATGTTAGTAACACCAAGAAAGCTGCCCTGGGCATACATGCCAAAAGTAACATACGCCGCACTCTTTGCCGAACCTTCAGACAGATCTACCGTGGATCGGACATGTGAGGGACTGCCTTGGTATATCTGCCACGGAACCTTGCGCAGGAAACTGATAAGGTCCTCCATGGAAGCTTTTGAGGTAATGAGCTTACGTGCCTGATTTTCAAACTCTCGGCGCTGACTAGCTTTAGAGGGTTCACTGGCATGTTGCTTACCTCTCTGGTCGTTAGAGATGCTGTTGGAGTAGGAACAAACTTCATCCTTCTGAACATTACAGCCCTTGTTAGGTTTACAGAGTGAATCTCCACTGTACACATCCTGTGGCGCACTATGCTTTTCTACGTCCTTCTGGTGATCTGAAGCGCCAAGCGCCACCAGAAGGTGCTGTCCCTACTCGGACGGCAACATTGAGGATGCCTGATTGGAGCAGTGTTCCTGAAACGAACTAAAGGGCTTCTTGAGTTCTTGGGCTCCACTCAGAACATCCTGCACAAGCGGAAAAAGTTGATGACAACCTCTGTGGTCTCGAGAGTCACCACTTTGCGTGGATTGAGCTGTCGAAAGACGGCCTCATTGCGCTGGAAGTCTATCACCGTGCCCAGTGAGCGCAAGCTGCGCACACTCAACAGGACAGGTTGTCCAGGGATGTCACGCAGATGTATCTTCATCTGGCTGTTCACGTCCTTGGTCGGGAGCTTCAGGAGTGCTGTCGCCATGCAGGTATGCAGGGCATTGTTTCCAAACCGGAACGAAGGGGTGTCTTCAGGAATGATGTCAATTCCATCCGCCCCACGCTTCTCCCAGTTCAGCTGGGCAATATGTTGCATTGCCTCTTCTGATCCCAAGCTGCTGGTCGCACCGCCATCAATGATGGCTTTCCCTTCTCTCACGATTTGCTCCAAGGACAGGAAGGTTGCCTCGTCAATCCGATTGGCAGCAAGAACTGTATCCTCTGGGCATCCTGGCTCCACAGCTTTTGCATCCTCCACATCTCTTCTGGCCATAAACACCAAGTTTACAGCCTGTCCGGATCCTTCACCAGATCCTTTCTTGGGACAGTCCTTGCGAAGATGGGGACCTCCGCACTTGAAACACTTGAGGGGAGGCCGACTGGCTCCCCATCTTGACTTGCCTGATCCCTTTGCCGGATAGAAGTTCCTGTTTCGGCGCATCTGAGCCTGTTGTTCCCTGGCATCCTTCACGGTGCGACGTGCATCTTGCAAGGCGGCCAAGGCTTCCTGGGCGCTTTCTTCCAGAGCGTGGTACGCATAGTCATCCTCTGGGTTGTCCCATTCCGGAAGTCCTCCTCGTGCTCTTCGGCGAGCAGAGTTGACTCTTCTGCAGTGAACATGGCAGCATTTTTTGCTTCCGTTCCGACGTCGAAGCTCCTCGTCCGGCCAAGTCAGTTTGAGAGCCGCTTTGACCTTCTCGATCGTGAAGTCGTTCTTCAGATTGGCCACTATGACGCTCCGTTCTGTCGCTTCGAGGCCGGATCGCTGCAGGAGGAGCCAAGCAATCACGAAGTCTGGCAGGAACTTTTCTGCCTGTGCTGAGGCCGTCTCGGACACGTCCCAGGACGCCTGGCTGGTCCCTCTCTGGTATGACCAGTGATTGTATGAGTCCTCGTACCTCGACGAGTTGTCCCACGACCAGTCATTCCAGCTACCCGGGTTCCACCAGGATCCATACCATGCCCAGGCCTCCAAGTTTCCCGTGTCTGAGGCTGTCACATCTTCGGTCTCGTGCTCCTGAGTGCTCTCCACATCCACTGGGTCGGCAGAACCAGGCTCTCCTGATTCTGAAGCCGGAGGAACTGTGGGTGGCCGACTTGGTGGCTTCCATCTTGAAGTTGATCCTGCAGAGCCCTTGGTCTTCCCCGGACCATACTCGTGTATGGCCTCCGCCAAGGTCCACTTTGCCTCTAACAAGGCTTCATCATGCCTCACAATCCAAGCAGCCATCCCTTCACCACGACGACGCTTAATCCCATAGAAGAATCGAGACATGGTTCGTCCTGCCTCCGCCAGCGTTGGGGCCCGCACTTGTCTTTTCAGATACTCCAAAAGCTGTGAAGCACCTTTGTCGTGCGAGATCCAGCCTGGCCGCATGTGCTCTACAGCGAGTCGCGCTCCCCTCGAGCGCGGCCTGAAGGCGGGGCCCAACCAGACTTCTCTTCTTCCACTCTATGGTTTCAGCATACGTCAATGCAGCTCGCTGGTATGCCACAAACAACTCGGGCGCTCCATCATAGATAGGAACACCATCCTTGTTATAGCGCAGCTCCGTCATTGTGCTCCTGCCCTGCTGACTCCCTATGCAACACAGCAGTAAAAACCCAAAGCTCCTGGAGCCCACCCAAGTTCTCTAACTTGAGTGAGCTCCGCTACCATGCAAGCGACACGTGGCACACTACAGCTCTGCAACCTATCCGGCTTTTTCCTGGCCAAAGGTGCTGTTGATCGCAAGCATACAACTGCGCACAAGCGATGGAGCTTGCAAGGGTTTAGGTTTAGGGCTTAGGCTTTCGGATCCTTACTGTATAGCACCCACAACCCCTTTGAAGGGAACCCCGTTATCCATATCATGGTAACTTAACCCTAACCCCTATACAACCTCGGAGGGGTATAAACCCTTTAGAGC